TTCATCCACCGCAGGGTTCGAGCGACGGACAGGAATGAGCCGCCGGAAATGATGCTGACCAACATGCGCATAACAACGTCGGTTCACGAGCAGGTGGTGAGGCATTCGCCGACTGGACATCATAACGGTCCCAATCCCTGGATGCCATGGTGCAGGAAATTATACGGTCAGCGGTTTTCTCTTGAGCGCGTCTTAGGAATGGCGGAGTGCTGGAGTACTGCCCGCTTTCGTACATTCATCTCCCAGGAACTGAACGTGTCGGTCGAGGACGTCAGGCGTACGTGCTGGGAGGCCACGGGACGACATGGTGCCGATGGTCGCTACACCACGTCGGCGGCATTCACCATCAGCGAATGATGGCCGAGAGGAGAAGTGGAGCAGCTCGTCCGGCGAACCGGGGACAGGGGGCGGCGGCGAGATCGTGCAGCTACTGAAGGAGGGCAGACGCTCTATGATCGTTGCGGCGATTCAACCAGATGGTAGAGGCAGTGTGCTGACAAGAAGCGAATCTGCCGGCAGTGCGTACCTGAGGGCGAATACGGCATCAACGCTGTGCGTCGGCGTGCCCGTCAAGCGGGTGCGGGCGGAATGGAGAGGTCATAGAGATCAGCACAATGACGAGGAGCAGGCGGCCCTCCGGATCCGCTGCGTGTTCAGAAATGGTGGAGGTCATGACCAGGCGAGGGATGGGCGTAGTCGTTGCCGCGCAAGCTAGGGGGTCCCCGCAGGATCGTCCGCTTGAAAACCGGTCCAGTTTGTTTCAGCAACTGGACGAGTTTGTATTATGTGTCAGGAGTATAATTGTCGTTGCAGGCCGGTATCCGCGCACGTCTGTCTAACATTCTGGACGTCAGTTTGAGCGAGAGATTGTGGAGGCCGCCAATTTTGCCCAAATCGTAGTCCTGAACGAACAGAGCATGCTCCTGCTGGAAAAGGCGGGTCGCTATATGCCCGGTCGGAAACACCGCACTCCTCCACTCTCACCCGATGCAGCACTCCTTGTCCGCTGGCGGCAAGGGCTCGCATTGCTGGGACGTCAGCGGCAACGAATACGTGACTGGTGGATGGGCCAGAGGGGGGCGGGTGGGGGGCGGGGGAGGCTGCGGTGCCGGGGGGGGGACAAGCACCTCGGGCCCGGGGGGGGGCCCAAGGGCACGCCCAAGCCTGGTGGGGGGCCAAGCCCGGGGGCCAGGGCCGGGGGGGGGCCGGGGGCCGGGCGCCCCCCGGGGCGGGCCCAATGCTGTGGGCCACGCACACCACCACGTCGTCGATTCGGCGTTGTCATCAAGACGTGGAGCTATGGGCTCAGACGTCTCGCCAACACAACGACAGGCTCTGTGTGCTGCCGAGCAGCTGGTCGAGGCTGGTACCCTGCGCAGTAGATTATGTGATGCGTCACCACCAGCGGCACCGACGCCTGCTTACGGCCATGCGGATTGCCTTACGCGCCTACGCGGCAAGGAAAAAGTGCTCAAAGTTCGAGGGTGGCTCCACGGGCAGCAGCGACTAGCGCCTGATGAGCGTATCTACTCCAGCGCATCGCTGGAGTTCCCGCAGTTCCGAGGCCACAGCGGTGGCATCCCAAAGGCCATCGCGACTGATGCTGATGCACCCTTCAATGACCTGGCCACGACTGAGGCGATCATACAGGCCCACCACGACGAGATCGCGGCGATCATCGTGGAGCCGATGCAGCGCATTCTGGCGCCCCGCCCGGCGTTCCTGCAGGGGCTGCGGGACTTGGCCAACCGTTTTGACATACCGCTGATATTCGACGAGGTCGTTACCAGCTTCCGGCTGGCCTATGGAGGTGCTCAGGAGTTCTACGGTGTGACGCCCGATCTGTGCTCGGTGGGCAAGATCATGGGCGGCGGATACCCGCTGGCCGCAGTGCTGGGCCGGGACGAGATCATGTCGGTCTACGACCGCGGAGAGGTGGACACCGACACGTTCGTCAGCCAGGTGGGGACGCTGAATGGCAACCCTGTGGCCTGCGCGGCCGGATTGGCGACACTGGAGGTGCTGCGCGACGATCCCGACGCATACCGCCGCGTCCACAGCTCCGGCGCCGCGCTGCGGAACGCCATGACGGAGTTCTGCGCCGAGAACGGAATTCCCGTGCAGAGCTGTGGCGAAGACGCTGTCTTCGACTTCTGTTTCACCGAACAGCCGGTCAACAACTACCGCGACCTCCTCTCGGGAGACGGCGCGATGTTGGCGCGCTTGAATGCTGGCCTGCTGGAACATGGAGTGCTGAAGGGAGGCCAGAAGTACTACCCGTCCGCAGTGCACACGGACGAGGACGTGGAGCGCACGATCGCGGCCTACAGGCAGGTGGTGCCAACGCTGCGGGGGTGATCGTTTGAGAACGCAGAAGAATCTATTCACGGCCGAGGAATTGGAGCGCCTTCCTTCCAACGGGAAACGGCTGGAGTTGGTGAAGGGGAAGGTGTACGAAATGGTCGCGGCGGGAGGGCGGCACGGCTATGTAGCGGTGAAAATAGGAATGCCTCTAAGTGCGCATGTGTGGCAACTCGGCCTTGGCCACGTTTTTGCGGCCGAAACGGGATTCCTGTTGCGACGCGACCCAGACACTGTCAGAGCACCAGACGTCGCCTTTATATCCTCCGTACGAATGCGTTCCGATGAGATACCGGACAGTTTTATCGAGGTAGTACCAGACTTGGTTGTAGAGGTAGTCTCTCCGGGGGACATTCGACGGGAGGTGGAGGAAAAAGTAAAAGACTGGCTCACTGCCGGAGTACGTATTGTGTGGCTCATCTACCCCATCACTCGTACGGCAACAGCATACCGGTCCCTGGATGACGTCATCCAACTTTCGGAGAATGACTCGCTCGAAGGGGAGGATGTGGTTCCCGGATTCAGTTGCCGCGTAGGGGACCTGATCGACTAGTCGGCGAAGGGCTCGTTGATGAGCACCAGTTCTGCGAAAGACGGCGTGGTCGCATCCGAAGGCCTTGCCCGCCTCCACAGCGTGGGCTGTCAGGAACTTGAAGGTACGATCCGTCGCCTCCTGGCCCAGGTATTCCAGGTATTCCAGGTATGCCCTGTGTTGCCGCAGCGACTCCATGCCCTGCTCCCAGTAGCCGGTTACGTCGACGCCGTGCGTGGGTGTGTTGGGGCCGAATACCGCCACGAAACGCACTCCATTCCAAGGTTCCAGCCCCTGACTGAGCAGTTCAGGGAAGATCCATCGGTTGGCGGCGTCCCGGGCCGCATCGAACACGGCGATGCCCACGTTGCGGTGGTCTGCCATGTTCAGGTGGCCGGAGGGGAACTGCAAGTGATGGCTCAGGGTCAGCAGTATGTCGGGGCGGTGACGCCGAATGGCGCGGCTGATGTCACGACGGAGGGGCAGTCCGTATTCTATGACGCCATCGGTGTGCTCCAGGAACTCCACGGTATCCACGCCCACGGCTCGCGCCGCATCTATCTCCCTCCTGGGATCGTAACGGCCCCACCTCCGAGGGGTGCATCTCGTTGATGCCCGCCTCGCCCCGGGACACCATCACATAGGTGATTTTCTTGCCCTGCGCCGTCCACTTGGCGATGGCGCTGGCAGTGCCGTACTCCAGATCATCGGGATGCGCGACGATGGCAAGTGCGGTCTGCCAGTCCTCAGGGAACGTCAGGGCTGGGGTCTCTCGATTCGTCAATGTAGGGCCTCTATCCGATAGATTGGCGTGGAATCACGCGGCAGCGAATCTCAGCGAAAGGGCCGCTGTGTTGCAGCGGCCCCTGATCAAGTGCTTTCCGTGGTGCGAGAATATCGCGCCTAATGGGCAGCGTGGGCCGCTCCCGCGCTCAGTTGGGTGATCAGCGGCCGGGTGTTCACGATGTGGCGTCGCAGACCCAGTTCCTGGGGGCTGATGCCCATGGCCAAGCCGATGGCCTGCGGCATGTGCAGGATGGGCAGCCCGATGTCGCGTCCGGCCTGGGCGGCGGCCTTGGGCTGGAAGCTGTCCAGGTTCAGGTGGCACAGTGGGCAGGGTGTGATCATGGCATCGGCGCCGAGATCCTTGGCCTCGCTGGTGTGCTTGCCGACCATCGCCAGGGAGTTCCGCTCGTTGATGGTCAGGATGGGGAAGCCGCAACAGCGTGTCTTGCCAGAGAAGTCCACCACCGTCGCTCCCAGAATCTCGATCAGCCGCTCCAGGGAGTTCTCCCGCTCGGGGTTGTCGGCAAACTGCAGGGCATCGGTGGGGCGCACCAGGTAGCAGCCGTAAAACGGCGCCAAGCGTACGCCGTGGAGCGGACGGGTAACCAGCTCCTCAAGCTTGTCGAGGCCGTAGTCCTCGATCAGGATCCAGAGCAGGTGCTTGGGATTGGCGGTGCCCTTGTACTCCAGTCCCTCTTCAGCCAGGTAGCTGTTGACCTTGGCGCGGTACTCAGGGTCCCGCAGCCTGAAGTTGGCTTGGCTCATCACACCCTGGCAGGTGCTGCAGATGGTCATTATGGGCAGGTCCCAGTACTCCGCCATGGCGAAGGTTCGGGCGTTCAGGGTGTCGCCAAGCAACTGGTTCTTTTCCTGAAGGACGCCAGCACCAGTGCAAGATGCGCCCTGCATCTCCCATATATCGATGCCCAAGCGTTTGCAGATCAACACTGCAGCCGGATAGAGCTCGGGACAGCCACCCCGCGAAACACAGCCGGGAAAGAAAGCGTACCTCAATTCGAGTCTCCGTTCACTCTGGGATTGGTCGCGTTACCCCTTGTCTGAAAAGGGCGACCCTAACGTTCGGTCTCGTCCACCTCTTCGAATATGCGGCGGACGTGTTCAATGCCTTCGATCTTTTTATGGATGAGTGGTGGCATCTTGCCGTGAGTGAGCGCCTGCAAAGCAACAGGGGCATAGTAAGCAGGCCCTGAATGTTCATCATTCCCAACGATTTGGGCACGAGCTTGAGTTCATCGAGAGTGCCAGACTGCTCCACCGACTCGGAGAAGGCCTCGGTGTGTCGGGCGCCGTTGGTGTTATGGAAACCCGCCGCGATCGCCTGATCGCGCATTGCCATGATGCGTTCCATGGGGGCCACGCCCTTGGGGCAGGCCTGGACGCATTCGAGACAGCGAGTGCAATCCCACATGCCCGATGGGCCGTTAAGCGCCTCCAGCCTTTCCTTGGACACGCCCTCGTCGTCGCCGTCGCGGGGGTCGGCAGTGAACCGGTAGGCCTTGGCCAAGGCCGCCGGGCCCAGGAAGGATGGATCGACCTCTAGCACCGTGCAGTCCGACACGCAGGCGCCGCACATGATGCAGGAAGTTACGCTGGACAGGTGAAGCATCGCATCGTTGGAGACGACGTACTCCTGTTCAGGCTCCGGCCCCTGGGGCTTCAGGTAGGGGTCGACCTCCATGATTTTGTCCCAAAAGAGGTCGAAGTTGACCACCAAGTCCTTGATGACCGGCATATTCCCGGCCGGCTCAACCTCGATGACGTCCCCTTCCTGGAGCACAGCCACCGCCTGGGTCTTGCAAGCGAGTCCGGCGTGCCCGTTGATACGCATGGCGCACGACCCGCAGATGGAACTGCGGCACGAGCAGCGCAGGCTCAGCGTCCCGTCCAGATCCTCGCGAATCTTGATGAGTGCGTCAAGGACGGTGGCATTGTCCTCGACTTCCAGCGAGTAGTCCTGCCAGAAAGGAGCAGTGTTCTCCGCCTCCGGATCCTGGCGCTGCACCCTAATGGTGACATTCATCGACTGCTAACCTCTAACTCAGTGTTGCCTTGGATGAATCTCCTCCGGCCAGTAAGAGCCGGTTGAGATGGGAGCTTACGTGCTAGTATTTCCGTTCTTCGGGCTCCCACCTGGTTATGCTGACAGGGGCGTAGGTGATTTCCGGTCCGGTCTCGCCTTTCCCAACCACAAGGTGCTTCATCCAGTTCTCATCGTCCCGGTTGGGGTAGTCGGTGCGGGCCTGGGCGCCACGGCTGTCCTTGCGGTCAATAGCGCTGACCACGATCGGCGGGGCGCAGTCGAGCATAAAGCCCAACTCCAAGGCAAAAATCAGGTCCGTGTTGAATATTTTGCCTTTGTTTTCCACTGGCACGGTCTTGAAACGCTCCTGCAGATGCTCCAGGTCACCCAGCGTTTCCTCCATGCCCTCCTGGTTGCGGTAGACGGCGAGGTTGCGGTTCATCGACTCGCCCATGCCCAGGCGCACACTGGCGATTCGGTCGCCGTTGGCAGGCCGGTCCAGCAACTCCTGGATGCGCTTCTCCTCGTTTCTCACCGTCTGTTCCACGTTGAATTCCACGTAGTCGACGCTGCGGGCTGCCTCGGCAGCGTGGTTGCCGGAGCGCTCTCCGAAAACGATGGTATCCAGCAGCGAGTTGGCACCCAGCCGGTTCCCGCCGTGCACACTTACGCAGGCACACTCACCCGCCGCATAGACGCCGGGAACATTTGTCAGGCCGTCCACATCGGTCTTGATGCCTCCCATCATGTAGTGCATACCAGGGCGGATGGGAATAGGCTCACGTATCATGTCGGCACCGGCCAGATCAATCCCGATTTCCCGAATCTGGCTAAGTTTTTCCATGATCAGCGCTTCGCCCAAGTGTCGGCAGTCCAGCAGCACGCAGCCATTTATTCCGTTACCGGCATTTGATTTCCGTCTGCTCTGAGCGGGAAACCACGTCGCGGGAGGCGAGCTCCATCATGTTTGGAGCGTACTTCTCCATAAAGCGGTTGCCGTCTTTGTCCAGCAGGTATGCGCCCTCACCGCGGGCCGCCTCGGAAATCAGCACGCCGCTGCCCGCCAGGGTGGTGGGATGGTACTGCACCATCTCCATGTCCATCAGCTGGGCGCCAGCATTGTAGGCCAGGGCCATCCCGTCGCCGGTAACAATCAGCGCGTTGGTGCTCGGCTCGAAAATCCGCCCAAGGCCACCGGTGGCAAAGATGACGGTCTTGGCCCGGATGGCGTATATCTGCCCGGTGCGGATGTCCAGCGCCATAACGCCACAGACCTGGCCGTCCTCAATGATCAGGGAGGTCACGAACCATTCCTCATAGCGACGGACGCCGGACTTGATGAGCTGCTCGAACATCACGTGCAGCAGTGCCTGTCCGGTGAAGTCGCCCACGAAGAAAGTGCGTGCCCGGCGCTGTCCGCCGAAGGCGCGGGTGCCGAGATAGCCCTCGTCGTCGCGATTGAAGGTGACGCCGAAGTGCTCCATGTCGATCAGCGCCCGGCCTGCGGCCTTGCACATCACTTCGATGGCGTCCTGATCGCCGAGGAAATCGCTTCCCTTGACCGTGTCGTAGGCGTGGTCTTCCCAGTCGTCGCCTCGGTCGGTGAGGGCCGCGTTGATACCGCCCTGGGCCGCGTTCGAGTGGCTCCGGACGGGGTGAACTTTACTGACAATCGCGGTGTTGGAGCCGTTGGCTCGAGCAGCAATGGCTGCCCTCATACCAGCAAGTCCAGCACCAATTACCAGGACATCATGCTCCAGCATGTTGACCTATTTCCTCCAGTGAGACCTCGATAAGCCGCCGAATACTATATCACAAAAAAAGCCGCTATCTGTGGCTGCCGCGCTATGAAGCCCAGGGCAATCGCGTCTTACTTGTCAGCACACAAAAATTGGTCTGAATGACGGTGGAGATGGGAATGGCAGTGCCTCATTCGGTTCCGGGTGCAAGGGTAGACGGGGGTTTGGATTCCCGCCTGCGCGGGAATGACGTCTTATAGGGCCTCCGGCGTTTAAGACGCGATTGCCCTGGCTATGAAGCCCAAGGCCATCGCACCTGGCACAGGAGGTTCCTTGGCGGGAAAACGTATGGGCATGTGTCAAGCCAAGATGGTCGCGGACAGTTCAGGCAATGCCGCAGGTCAGTTGGTGTGGGATAGAATGGTCCGTTCTCCGTCCCACTCTGTCTCAAAATTTCCCATGATGTCCCATTTGGGCCGCTGTTTAGAAAGGAATCTGCCTGTTTGGGATTGGAAAATTCGTATCCCGTCCCATTTTGTCCCATTGGGGTTCCAGGACCGGCCTTCAGCAAGGGTCACATTTGCCGAGCAATTATTCTGAAATGTCATCCCACAATAGTAAGGGGAGGTTAGGAGGCTTGGCAAGGTCCAATTGTCAGAAACCAATGCAAGTGCAATTATCATGGCTTTGAGGCGGGCGTCCCTTTGTTTCCCTCTACCTTGAGAGAGGGTGTCAGGGTGAAATCGCATCAATCAGTGGCACCACATCTCGGCACAACAATATTCCGGGAAAAAAGATAGGCCCGTTCACTGCAGGAACGGGTCTCATTTACCTGTACGGTTCGGAGCCTGTGGTCACACGCTCTACGCTGCGTGCTCCTCGGCGTGGTGCTCGTGGCCGTCGCACTCGTGCGGGTCGTGAATGTGCTCGCCGGCGTGGTGCTCGTTGTCGTCGCACTCGTGAGCATTGTGATGCTCACTAACCATGTTTAACACCACACTACGTTTATTGCCTGCCCTGGGTCACTAGGTTTCTCAAATAGACCTCCCTGTCAATATTTTTTCAGTTTGCCTTTCGAGACACAACGGTGCCAACAGACCAGGCAGATGCCAGCAAACCAGGCAGATTCCAACCGGTCAAAAAATCATACCGGTAAAAAAATCAGATCTGCTGCAGCAGCGGCTGGGCCAGCAACAGGGAGGCTATGGTCTTGCCGTCGTGAATCTCGCCGGTATGAATCATGGCCACGGCGTCGGCAAAGGGAATCCGCACCACCTGGATGTTCTCGTCATCGTCAGCCGCCAGCTTGGAAGGCGTGAGGCCGGTGGCCAGGTAGGCGTGCATCCGCTCTGTCGCCCATCCGGGGGCGACCCAGAAGCTGGCGAGGTGGCGCAGGCTGGATGCCGTGTAGCCCACCTCCTCCTGCAGCTCCCGCAGCACCGTCTCCTCAGAGACTTCGCCTGCCTCCACCCCTCCTGCCGGCGCCTCCAGCAGCGACGACTCGGTGGGCTTGCGAAATTGCCGGACCAGGAGCACGTTGCCGTCGTCATCCACCGGAATCATGCAGACGGCGTCGGAATGCTCCGCCACCTCCCGGATGGTACGGCGTCCGCTGGGCAATTCCACCGTGTCCACACGAACGCTGAAGATCCTCCCGTCGTATGGACGGGGTTGTATCGATAGTGTTCTCGAACTGGACTGGCGCTTTATCAGTATCGGTATCGGTATCAGCCAAGATGGGTATCTCCTACTGGCCCCGGATGCTGAACCCGAGGCGGCGTGTTAGTGTGCCAAAAAAGTAGGACGGCGGATTGGCTCGCAGGAAGGTGGCCTTGTATGGGCTCTGCGCCAGGTCGACCCGGTCGCCGGGCTGCAGGTCATAGTCCTCGTAGCCATCCACGCTCAGGACAGCTCCCTGGTATCCCTCGAGCTGCAGGGTCACCTCCGCGTCGGACCGCAGCACCAGTGCTGCGGTCAGCCCCATATGGGCCGCCACCGTCTTGAGCACCAGGGCGTCCGACTCGGGGTCGAGTATCGGCCCGCCGACCGCCAGGTTGTAGCCGGTGCTCCCAGTCGCCGTTGAGAGGATCAGCCCGTCGGCGCGGAACGTGGAGACCTGCGCCCCGTCGATGGTCCCAGCGATGGACACAACTCGGGAAGCCGCACCACGGGCCACCACAAAGTCGTTCAGGGCGTGATAGGGCCCCTGTTCGATCGTGGAGCCGCCCCCGGGTGACGGTGGCCTGGAGCATATTCCGCTCGTCGGTGCGGTAACCGCCCTTCAGATAACTGGGAAGCCTCGGCAGGGCCTCGTCGACCGTGAGCTCCGTCATAAACCCAAGACGACCCATGTTGATGCCAACGATCGGTATGTTGGCAGGCCCTGTGAACCGTACCGCCCGCAGAATGGTCCCGTCTCCACCCACGGTAACCACGAGGTCGGTGCCCTCGGCCCGGGGGGCCAGGGACTCGAGATTCTCGGCCGGCGAATACCAGCTCCCCTCCGGCAGGTCCAGTTCGTGCAGGATCGCCATGCTGAGGTCCAGCGCCTCGGGTATCCGGTTGTTGTAGATGATTCCGACGTTTTTCATCGCATCCTTTGCGTCTACGAAACGGGGGTTGATGAAACGGGAATAGTGTAGCAGGTCGCCAATCGAAGCACCTATGCCTCCTGTTGGCCGCCGCCGTCACTCCCTCTACGGCCGCCGCCGAACATCGTCCTGAGGAGCCGCAAAAGCGGCCTCGCTCCGGCGGAACCCCCTCCAGCGGCCACCCCCGGCGACAAAAAGCCACCGGCCGCCTCGGCTATCGTCCCCACGGCGTTGGCAGCGGCGGCGACATTGCTGGCCGCCTCGCGGGAACTGCGAACAGTTTCCGACAGGTCTCCGCTACCCTCTTTGAGTTTCTCCGAGATGATCACCGCGTTCCGCGATGTCTGGACGATGTTGCCCGCCGTTTCCTCGGAGACCGCCGCCAAGTCGCCACTGATGCTCCTGAGGTTTTCCATAGCGCCTGATGTGTTTTGCACCGATTCCCGAATCGGCCGATACAGCTTGACCACGAGCACGGTCGCGGTCAGACAAAGCGCAGTGAATGCGCCGGCGGCAACGATGAGAAAAATATCCCGGATCGCCGAAGTGATATTGGAGTCCATGTCTTGCTGCCTCCGGCTGCTGCCCATGGAATTTGTCTGGCCTAATAGAAGCAAAGCACGCCTCTGTTTCTCCTGCACTGACAGCGGCACTGGCAACTGTGCCCGGCTTGCGGCCCTCTCGTTAAAGGAACGGAGTGCTCAGCGTGTCAGCCTACACTCCCAGCGCACTCACCGCAGCGCCCGCCGCCTCCATCACGAAGCCCGGCGCCACGCCCAGGAAGACCAGCACGGCCGCCGCCACGCCCAGCGCAGCCCAGGGCGCCGGATTGCGGGACGGCGGAGCCCCGGGCGCTGCTGGGGCCTGCTGCAGGAACATCACCCTGATAATGCGCATGTAGTAGTAGGCCGACACCGCGCTGTTGACCACGCCCACTATCGCCAGCCACGCCAGCCCGCTGTCCACTGCGGCGGTGAATACATACAGCTTGGCGATGAATATGCCCGTGGGCGGCACGCCGACCAACGCTATCAGCGCCAGGGCCAGTGTGCCGGCCAGCACGGGAGATCGGTGGAACAGGCCCGCGTAGTCGCTGATCCGGTCGCTGCCCACCCGCTCCCCTATGGCGGCAATGGCGAAGAAGGCCGTGAGGTTGGCCGCAGTGTACGCCACCAGATAGAACAGTACGCTATCCAGTCCGATCGACGCGAAAACAGGAACGTCGGGAATGACGTCAGCGGCCTTTACGCTCGCGGCCACGCCCACCAGCAGGTACCCGGCGTGGGCGATGGTACTGTACCCGAACAGGCGCCGGATGTTGCTCTGCCCCATCGCCACGGCATTACCGATGCTCATCGAAGCGGCGGCCAGGGCGGCCATCAGTACAGCCCAGTCCAGCGACACGTCGAAGAACCCAGTGAACAGCACCCGGAACAAGACAGCGAAGCCTGCCGCCTTGCTGGCCACCGACAGGAATGCGACCACCGGCGTGGGAGCGCCTTCGTACACGTCGGGCACCCACATCTGGAACGGGGCTGCGGATATCTTGAATCCAAAACCCGCCACCAGCAGCACGATGCCCACCAGCAGGGCCCAGTTGCCGAATGCGACGTCCCCGCCAGCGTGTCCCACTGCGGCGGCGATTTCCGTCAGCTCGGTGCTGCCCGTGAACCCGAACACCAGCGCCATGCCGTAGAGCATCAGTGCCGAGCTGATGGCCCCGATGATCAGGAACTTCATCCCCGCCTCGCTGGACCGCCTGCTCATCAGGAACGCCGCCAGCGCGGCGATTGGCAGGCTGGTAAGTTCCAGCGCGACGTATATGGTGATCAGCTCGGTTGCGGCCGCCAGCAGCATCATTCCCGTCGCGGAGAACAGCAACAGGCCAAAGTATTCGCCCCGGAAGCGAGGCATCAATCGCACGTATTCCGTCGAAGCCAGCACCACCAGCGCGGCCGCCCCGGTGACCAGGAAATTGAAGAACAGCGCAAACCGGTCCACCGACAGGCTGCCTGTCAGTATGCTGGCGCCGTCATCGCCGGTGCTCCGAAGGAGACTGGCGGCCTCTCCCAAGTCGTAGAACTGGTAAAGGCTCAGTACAAATGGCCCGGCCAGCATCAGGAACGCCAGATACGGCAGCAGCCCCCCGGCCCGCCTTGGCAGGACCAGGTCAAAAATGATGACCAGCGTCGCCGCCCCGGCCATCGCCAGGTACGGCGAGATTACGTATACGTCGTGGGCGTTCATTCTTGCCTAGCCGCCGTTGATCGCCTGGACCATAGGCCCCAGGGCGGTATCGAACATATCAGTAAGCAGCTGAGGGTATACCCCCACCCCAATGATGCAGATCACCATAAGCGCCAGCGGCGCCGCCTCCACCAGCGACGCGTCTGTCAGATCTCCAAACCGCTCCCGGGGTGCTCCGAAAAAGGTGCGCTCCATCATCCACAGGATGTACCCGGCGGCCAGCACGATGCCGAGCACCGCCAGCACCGTCGGCCAGTCGTAGGCCCGGTATGCGCCAAGGAACACCAGTAGCTCCGACACAAAGCCGCTCAGCCCGGGCAGACCCAGCGAAGCCAGCCCCCGCGATAAGCATCGCCGCCGCCACGAAAGGCATCCGACCAGCGAGGCCGCCCAAGTCGGGGATGTACCTGGTGTGCGCCTTCTCATACACGATGCCCACGGCGAGGAAGAGGAGGCCAGTGATCGTGCCGTGGGTGAAAAGCTGCATCGCCGCCCCGCTCAGCCCCGTCGTAGTCAGCGTGCCTCCGGCAACTCCCACCGAACCTATTCCCAGAAGCACCAGCCCCATGTGGCTGACGCTGGAGTAGGCGATGAGCCGTTTCAGGTCGGTCTGGCGCATGGTCACCACCGCCCCGTACAGCACGCTGATCACCCCAAGAGTCACCAGTACCCAGGCAAACTCCCACGACTGATCGGGAAACAGTCCCACGTTCACCCGCAACAGTCCGTACCCGCCCATCTTCAGCAACACGCCGGCCAGCATAACGCTGGCAGCCGTGGGCGCGTCAGTATGGGCATCAGGCAACCAGGTGTGCAGCGGCCACGTGGGCAGCTTGACGGCAAAAGCGACGAAGAACAGCCAAAACAGCCACGACAGCGGCAGCAGCGTGGCCGCCGACGCCAGCACCCCTCCGGTGGTCGACAGCTCGATCAGGTTGAAAGTGCCAACCTCGGGCGTGAGGAACACTGCCACGATGGCCACCAGCATGAACGCGCTGCCCAGGATGGTGAAGATCAGGAACTTCATCGCCGAGTACTCTTTGCGCCCCGTACCCCAGATGGAGATGAGCATGTACATCGGCACCAGTTCCAGTTCCCAGAACAGGAAGAACAGTAGCAGGTCGAGGGCGGAAAACACGCCCATGACCGCCGTCTGCAAAATCAGCAGCCAGAAGAAATACTCCTTGACCCGCACCCCAACGTGCCAAGAAGCCAGCACTGCCGATAGCCCCAGCAGCCCGGTCAGCGCCACCAGCGGCGCGGAAAGGCCGTCCACGGCCAGCAGGTACGAGGCCTTCAGGCCAATGTCTGGAATCCAGGAGAACTGGTCAACGAACTGGAAGCGCGCCGCGTCCCCGCCCCGCTCGAACAGGGAGAAGACCAGGAGGGCGAGCACCAAGTCCGCCACGGCGATGGCAACCGCCGCGCCCCGAATTACCTTGTCGCCCCGCAGCAGCAAACAGCAAGACCGCCCCGACGGCGGGGAGGAACACTGTCGCAGTTAGCAGTCCGTTGAATTCAGGCGCCATCAGTATTCGTTACTCTTGATTCCCTTCAGGATGTCAGCAGGAAGCCGAGAATGATGAGCAGGGAGCCCAGAGCGATTGCCGTTCCGTAAGCCTGCACCTGTCCCGTCTGCACTCGCCCCACCGCCGAGCCAACGTTGCGGAAGAACCAGCCAACCAGGTCGACTATTCCGTCTACGAGACGGCGGTCCAGCCAGTTGGTGAACCCTGCGAAGATGCGGTAGAAGCTGCGCCGGACTATCAGGTTTTCGTAGAGCACGTCCACGTAGTATTTCTGCGACAGCAGGGTGTGCACCGGCCCCAGAATGCGCAGTGGCTCACGCGTATGGTCGCGGCGCAGTCCGTAGACCGCCAGGCCAGCAAGCGCTCCGACAACGGCGGCAGCGGTCGATATACCCGCCATCGCCCAGCTGAAGTCCGGCAATTCCGCGTGGCCTTCGCCGCCAGTGGCAACCAGCAAACCATCGGCTACGAAGCCCGTTACCCAGTGAACGGGGACACCCAGGAAGTTGATCCACTGGGGGTTGATGATGTATCCGGCGACGACCGCGCCGACTCCCAGCACGGCCATCGGCACAACCATCACCAGCGGCGACTCAGCCAGGTGCACGCCGCCGTGGTGACCTCCATCCTCGTCGTGTGCTTCGTCGGCCACGTTGGTGTCGGCGTGGGCTGTGGAGGAATGCAACTGCGGGTCGATGTCTGCGTTTTCTTGGTCCACACCGCCCTTGAACTCGCCATGGAAGGTCATCATGACCATCCGTACGGTGTAGAAGGCGGTGAAGATAACGCCCACTATGAGCCCAACAAACGAGACGATGTTGATCCATTCCACGAATTGGCTGTTGCCGTCAAACGCAGCCAGCAGGATCTCGTCCTTGCTCCAGAACCCCGCCATGGGAACGATGCCTATCAAACTGAGCGAGGCGACCATCACGAGGATATAGGTCGCAGGCATGTACTTGCGGAGCCCGCCCATGTAGGTCATGTCGAAGGTGCCGCTGGCGTGATTGACGCTTCCCGCTCCCAGGAACAGCAGTGCCTTGAACACAGCATGGGTGACCAGGTGGAAGATGGCGGGAGCATAGGCCCCGAGTCCCAGAGCGGCCATCATATAACCCAGCTGACTCACGGTCGAGTAGGCCATCACCCGCTTTATGTCGTTCATCACGAGGCCCATGGTCGCGGCCATCAGGGCCGTGAACACGCCGATGAGCGCCACTACGGCCATGGCGGAATCCGACTGCTGGAACACGGGGAAGAAGCGAGCTACGAGGAAGACCCCCGCCGCCACCATTGTCGCGGCATGGATCAGCGCACTGACCGGGGTCGGTCCCTCCATGGCGTCGGGCAGCCAAGCATGCAGCGGGAATTGCCCCGACTTGCCAGCCGCCCCCGCGAATATGCCCAGTGCCATCCAGGTCAAAGCCGCTCCGCCGAGCACCGCAGCGCCTGCGGCCACGGGCTGCGCCGCCTGCCAGATGTCGGGGATATGGAATGCATTGAGCCCCACGGCGGCAAAGTCGTCGGCCTTGAAGAACAGGTACAGGATGGCAATCAGGAAACCCACATCGCCTATGCGGGTTATGATGAACGCTTTCTTGGCAGCGGCGGCAGCCGCGGGCCGCTCGTGCCAGAACCCGATGAGCAGGTAGGACGACACGCCGACCAGCTCCCAGAAGGCGTAAAGCTGCACGATGTTGCTGGACAGCACCAGTCCCAGCATCGAAGCGGTGAACAGGGACATGTACGCGAAGTACCGGGCGAACCCGGGGTCGCGGTCCATGTATCCCACGGAGTAGATCTGTATCAACAGGCTGATGGAGGTGACCACCACCAGCATCACGGCGGTGAGCGGGTCCACCAGCAGCCCCATCTGGATTGTCGCGCCGCCGTACGACAGCCAGTCCCAGCTCTGGAACACTGCCTCGTGGTGCACTATGACACCACGCAACGTGACTATTGCCAGGACGGTGGAAGCGGTTAGCGCGGCAATTGTGCTCAGGGCGGCCAGCAGCGGCCAACGGTTGAGGAAAGGACGGATGACCAGGGCTATCAGGACAAAGGAGCCCAGGGGAAGCAGGAAAATGGCCCAGACTAAGGCTTCGTTGACCATCTACAGTTTCCTCAGGATCTCCTCGGCAACGTGTTCACGCCCCAGAGGAACGTAGATGTTGAAAGGGACTCGTTCGCTCCAGTCCAGTATGTCTCCCTCCGGCAGGATGCGCGCAGGCAGGCCCTCGCCCTCGAGGACCTCTTTCCACATCTCTGCCAGCATCAGGTTCGACGCTTTTCTGAACTGTACCCACATGTTCCGGTCCGCTTCTTAAACGCCCTCGGCACTCGCCTAGTGCCTCAGCTGCGACGCCTCCGTAAGGTCCACCGACTCGTTGGTACGATACATTGCAAACACAATCCCCAAGCCCAGCGCTATCTCGGCCGCGGCGACCGTTATGACAAACACCGCGAACACCTGCCCGGTCAACGCAGTGGAGATGTTTTCCTGCAGTCCCGCCGGAGCCAAGTACTTGGCCATCGCCACCAACGTTACGTTTACCGCGTTGAACATCAGCTCGATGGACATCAGCACAGCGAGCACGTTGCGCCGCGCCAGCGATCCGTAAAGCCCGATGCAGAAAAGCACAGCGGCAACGATTAGGAATGCTTCGAAGGACATACCGGGCTAGTCCGCGTCCCCACCGGTACCGCCGGGGTTGGATATGCCGCTGCCCGGCCGCGGGCGCACCAGGGCCAGGGCACCAATGAGCGCGGCCAGGAGCAGAACGGATACAGCCTCGAAGGGCAGCACGTACTTGCCTATGAGCAGGTCGGCCAGCCCAGCCTCCCGCACCTCCGCCTGCTTTGCGGCATCAGTAACGCCCGCTCTCTCCATCGACTCGGACGGGATGGTCGCGACTGCAGAGGTCTGCACCAACTCCACGCTCTGGCGTTCCTCTTCCGGGAAGAAGTTCCACTGGGTGTCGATCGCAACTACCACCATCGCCGCGAGGAGCAGGGCTGCGAAAATGCCGGCAGGGATCTGCAGCCGGTTGGGCTGGTTGCCCTGTTGCACATCGCGGGTGAGCATCACTGCGAAGATGATCAGCACGGCAATGGCGCCGGCGTAAATCAGCACCTGCACCACCGCCAGGAACTCGGCATTGAGCAGGACGAAGTATCCGCCGACGGCGATGAACACAGCCACCAGCAGCAGAGCGGCGCGGAAGAGGTCCCGGATCAGCACAACTCCCAGCGCACATCCCACGGCCACAACGCTCAGCAGCCAGAATACGACGTCCTGGAACAGCATCTAGGCAGCTTCCCCGCCGTCGTCGTCCGGCGTAGGACGGGAACTGATGCGCATTCCCGCTTTCTCCCGCTGGTGCCATTCCCACGACTCGCGCCCGACCTGCTGCCAGTCCAGCGGCGTTCCGGCTCGCGGATTCGTAGTCCTGCGACTCCAGCTGCGGGCGGAAGAAGGTGCTGGGATGTTTGTCGGCCTGCCTGAGCTCGTCGATGGTGATGACCATATCTTTGCGTGAATACTTACCCTGCTCGAAGCCGCTGCCCATGAACAGCGCATCGTAGGGGCAGGCCTCAACGCAAAGGCCGCAGAACATACAACGGTTGATGGCGATGTCGAACACTTCCAGCCGGTACTTGTCGCCCTCCGGCACGGCGGTCTCGCTCGGGCTGGTAACGATCTTGATGATGCCCAGAGGGCAGTACTTGGCACAGGAGGCGCATCCGGTGCAGCGCTCCTCGTACCAGACGAACTCCTTCTCCCCGGAATCGCGGATGCTGCTTTAGTCGCTCCTCGGGATACTGCACCGTAAACGGTTTTTTGGTCAGGTTCTTGAGGGTAACCAGCAAGCCCTTGGCCATAGCCAGTCCGTACATCGCTAATCCCCCTCCACGATTGTCATGCCACGGGGCAGGACCGGGGCCCGGTTGGGAACCACGGGCCGCACCTTCTTCCGCACCATGCTGCCGAATAGCAGGAAGCAAGCCACTGTTATCGCCAGGTTAATCCCAGTCATTATTCCCAGGTCGCCGCGGGTGAGCATCCCCTCCGCGTCCCGCAGGAAGTAAACCTCCAGCGAAGTGGCGAACAGGTTGATCAGGCTTGCCGGCAGCAGGAACTTCCACGCGAAAGCCAGCAACTGGTCGATACGCAGACGGGGGAAGGTCGCACGTACCCAGATGAATATTGTAGCAACTATCATCGTCTTGATCAGGAACCACAGCCACCCCAGCCAGTGGGCCACCGGGCCTTCCCATCCGCTCAGGAACAGCGTCGTAATAACCCCCGACGCCACCATCACTCCTCCGAACTCGGCGGCCTGGATCATTGCGAACTTGATGCCGCTGTACTCGGTGTGATACCCGGCGATCAGCTCCGACTCGGCCTCCGCCATATCGAAGGGAGTCCGGTTCAGCTCGGCGGTGGTCCCGGCTACGAACACGAAGAACGCCAGCGGCTGCACGATGATGAAGGGCAGGGTCTGGGCTGTGACCACGTCGGCCAGCGACATTGAACCCGGCCACCATCACCACGCCCAACAGTGACACCACCACTGGTACCTCGTAGCTGATCAGCACCGCCACCCCGCGAGCCGCGCCGAACAGCGCGAAGCGGTTGTTGGAAGACCATCCCGCCATGAAGATTGCGATGGAGGTCACCGATGTGACTGCCAGGATGTACAGGACGCCGACGTTGAGGTTGGCCAGCGCGGTGTCCTTCGCGAACGGCACCACGGCCAGCACAAGCATCACGGGCGCCACCATCAGGATGGGCACCAGGAGGAAGACGATCCTGTCGGCCGTGCCGGGCGTCAGATCTTCCTTGAACAGCAGCTTGAGCAGGTCGGCGATGGGCTGCAGCAGACCGAACGGCCCCCAGCGGTTGGGTCCCACCCGGTTCTGAAACTTGCCAATGAGCTTGCGCTCCGCCCACGAAAAGCCCGCCGCGCCAAGCAGCACCGCGTTCGCCAGAACCAGGATGATCACCAAGCCGGCCACAAAGTACGACAGCCAGCAGGGCAGAACGTGTCCCACGAGGTTGTAAATCTCGCGGAACATCGGCGTCTGATAGAGTATGTTGTCCGGGCCGATTACGCAGTTCACCGGTCAACTTCACCCATGTTGATATCAACGCTGCCGAGGGTAACGATCATGTCGGCCAGATTAAAGCCCACCAGCAGGTGTTCGGTCACCGTGAGGTTCAGCAGGGATGGAGAGCGTATCTTGCAGCGGTACGGGCTAATGCCGCCGTCGCTGATCAGGTAGAAGGCCAACTCTCCCTTGGACGCCTCCACGCGGCCGTAGGCCTCTGCTCCCGGTTCGGGCCGCAGCACCAGCGGCACCTCGGCGCGCACCGGACCCGGCTCGATCTGGGCAATGCACTGCCGGACGATTCGCATGCTCTGCCTGATTTCCTGGATCCTCACCCAGAACCGGGCGTAGTTGTCGCCGTCTGGGGACGTCGGCACGTCGAACTCAACCTGATCGTAGGCATCGTAGGGCTCTTCCTTCCGCCAGTCCCACTGCAGCCCGCTGGCCCGCAGCACTGGCCCACTGACCGAGCAGTTGATGGCCACGTCCAGCGGCAACGGACTCACGCCCCGCGTGCGGACCATGATGATCTCGTTCTCCAGCAGCAGTTGCTCCAGCTCCTTGAATTCCTCCTCGAAATCAACAAGGAACTGGTCCAATGCCGGCCAGAACTCCGGCGGAGTGTCGAAGTATACGCCGCCTGGCCGCATGTAGCTCACCGTGATTCGAGCTCCGCATAGCATCTCGAACAGGTCGAGAATGCGCTCGCGGGAGCGGAAGCAGTACATCAGCGGCGTGCCGAGTGCCCCCAGGTCCTGGATTATGAAACCTATCCCCATCAGGTGAGCCGCGATCCGCTGCAGCTCGGCGGTCAGCGTGCGCAGGTACTTGCCCCGCAGCGGCACCTCTGCCCCGAGAAGCTGCTCCACGGCCAGACAGTAGGCCTGGTTGTTGATCATAGACGACACATAGTCCAGCCGGTCGGTCAGCGTCACCACTTGCGTGTAGTTCCGCTCCTCTGCCAGCTTCTCGGTGCCGCGGTGCAGGTAGCCGAAGATCGGCTCCACCTGCAGAATCTCCTCGCCATCGAATGTCACGCGCAGGCGGAACACCCCGTGGGTGCTGGGGTGCTGCGGACCGATGTTGACTGTCATCGGCTCGGTTCGAATGGTCATCCCGTGTAGTCCTTGCGCAGGGGATGCCCCTCGAACCCTTCCCACAGCATTATTCGCTTCATATTCGGATGTCCGTCGAAGCGAATGCCCATCAGGTCCCAGATCTCGCGCTCCTGGAAGTCCGCGCCGCGCCAAAGGTGAAATACCGATGGAGCCGATATTTTCTTCACGACCCGCCAGCCGCGACTTGACTGTCGCCTTGTGTCCCTTGCGGAAAGAGGTGAGGTGATATACCAGCTCGAAGTGCCCGATGTAGTCAATAGCTGATATGGAGTTCAGGTATTGCATGTCGAAGTCGCCGTGGCTCTGGAGAAAGCCGGCGACGTCCGAAATGGATGCTGGCTTGACCCAGAGGGTGTCATCGCTCCACTCATCAACAGCGCCGGGAACCGCCTCATCCACCCTCTGTGCCAGCTCCGCTCCCATAAGCTGAGTCAGCGCCATCACTGCTCTCCGGGAGTGTCGGCAGCCTCGTCGCTCTGACTTTCGTCGACGAGAGCAGAACGTACGGAGGCGGGAGCCAGGTTACGGTAGCGCTTGATTTTCTCGTGGAGGGCCATGATCCCGTAAAGCAGTGCATCGGGCCTGGGCGGGCATCCCGGCACGTACACGTCCACCGGGATGATGTGGTCAACCCCGGGAACAACGCTGTAGGATCCATAGTAGGGACCGCCGCTGGTGGCGCACACGCCCATGGATATTACCCACTTGGGCTCTGCCATCTGCTCGTAGATGCGCCGGATAGGCGGCGCCATTTTCCAGGTGACCGTCCCCGCGATGATCAGCAAGTCCGCTTGCCGGGGCGAAGCGCGGAAGGCCTCCATACCAAATCGGGCAATGTCGAACCGGCCCATGCTGCTGGCTATCATCTCGAATGCGCAGCAGGCCAAGCCGAAAGTTACAGGCCATGCCGACGACTTGCGGCCCCAATTCACCAGCGCATCGATGGAAGTGACCATCAGGTTGCTCTTGATGTCGTCGGGAACTTCGATGAACGGTTCGGCAAGGGGCTCCGGGGAATTGTCCTTCAATTCCTGCACCACCCGGCCCTCGTTCCGGTCCAGCTCCCAAGTACGGGACTGCAAGGACTCCCCCGGTTGCCACGGTTGCATCATCAGACGCCGCCTAGTTCCATTCCAGGTCGCGCTTGCGCCAGGCATAGGCCCATCCAACCAGGAGGATACCCACAAACACCGCCATCTCGATCAGCGCGACAATTCCAGTTGGAGAAACTTCGTAGCCCACGGATAGAGGAAGATGACCTCAACGTCAAATATAACGAATAGGATCGCGAACATGTAGTAGCGGAAATTAAAGAGGCTCCAGTGGCCGCCGATGGCCTCCATTCCGCACTCGTAAGTTTCTGACTTCACGTCGCTGGGCTTGCGGGGACGCAGGCCAATTCGCGAGGCCCCCCACGACATGACCAGCATACTGACCGGCACCGCCACGGCCACCACGCAGAAGATGGCAATAAGCCCGTACTGCCTGAAATAGTCGTCCAGAAACATCGGTGAGATTATATCAGAAAGTGGCCAAATGCCCCATCGGATTTCGACAGGTTTTGCTTGCCAAATCAGGCTTGATGGCAGTTTCTCACTGCCTTTGGGCGAAGCGGAAATTGGGAGTGATAAGATAGGCTCGATAGTCTGTTTCTAGATAAGGTGTCAACTTTGACCAACGCAAATCAGGCAGCAGCCAAGGGACCGCTGACCGGTCTTCGGGTCCTCGACCTGTCAATGATCGTTGCCGGTGGCACCGCCAGCAGCCTCATGGCCGATTTCGGCGCCGAGGTTGTAAAGGTGGAGCGGCCCGGAGGCGGCGACCCGCTGCGCAACTGGGGCCCATTCGCCAACGGCGTATCGCTCTGGTGGAAGGTCCACTCCCGGAACAAGAAGTCCATCACCCTCAACCTGGGTAACGCCGAGGGCCAGGAGATCCTGAGGAATCTCGCCTCCAGGGCCGATGTCCTTATCGAGGGTTTCCGGCCCGGAGTGATGGAGCGCTGGGGAGTCGGGCCCGATGAGCTGCTTGAGGCCAATCCCGGCCTCGTGATGCTGCGGTACTCGGGTTTCGGGCAGACCGGCCCATACAGGGAGCGTCCCGGTTTCGGCACCATCGCCGAATGCATGAGCGGCTACGTGGGAATGACCGGCTTCCAGGACACCCCTCCCGTGCTGCCGCCCGTGCCCCGCTGGCCGACGAGGTGGCCGGCGTTTTCGGGGCCATGTCCGGGATGATGGCTCTCTATCATCGCGACGTTGGCGGAGGAAAGGGACAGGTGGTAGACGTTTCGCTGTTCGAGCCGCTCTTCCGTCTGTGCATCCCCCACGTCACGATGTTCGACCTGCTAGGTACCAACCGCGAGCGAGTGGGCAACGACTTTCCCGACGCGGCCCCCCGCAGCCTCTACCGCACCGGCGACCAGCGCTGGCTGGGTCTCTCCGCCACCTCCCAGAGCACCTTCGAGGGCCTCGCCAAGGCAATGGGCATGCCGGACCTCATCGACCGTCCTGCCTTCGCAGACAACGCCTCCCGTATCGATAACCGCGACGAACTTAAACGACGAGTTGAACGCGTGGCTCGGCGACCGCACCCTGGACGAGACTATGGCCCAGCTCATACCTGCCGGCGGCGTTGTCGGCCCGGTATATGGAGCGGCCGACATCGTTGAGGACCCGCATTACCAGGCCCGCGAAGACATCATCGAGATCGATGACCCTGAACTGGGACATACCAGGATGCTGGGCATAGTCCCCAAGTTCAGCGAAACCCCCGGCGCCGTTGAGCACGCAGGCCCCACCGTCGGCCAGCACAACGCCACAATCTATGGCGCCTGGCTGGGTCTGGATGAAAGCGAGTTGTCGAGCCTTAAAGATCGCGGCGTGATATGACCAGCCAACCCATCCTGCTGGTGGCCACGGGCAACCCCGGCAAGCTGCGGGAGTACCAGGGCCTCTTGTGCGACGCCCCATACAAGCTGGTATCCCTCCGTGATGTGGGAATCACAGACGAGGTGGAGGAGACCGGCGATACCTTTGCAGAGAACGCGTGGCTGAAGGCCTCGGGCTACGCACAGATGAGCGGAATGCTGACCCTGGCAGACGACTCCGGCCTCGAGGTGGACGCCCTCGGCGGCGACCCCGGCGTGCGCTCCGCCCGCTACGGCGGCGACGCCTGCCGCACCGATTCCGACCGAGTTGCCCTGCTTCTCCGGAACCTGGAAGCCGTGCCCTGGCAGAAGCGGACAGCCAGGTTCCGCTGTCTCATCAACATCGTTCGGCCGCCCACCAGCAGGAATGGTCAGACAGACGTGTTGGTGTTGGTAGTGGGCTCGGTGGCCGGAATGGTACAATACGAGCCAGTTGGCAACGACGGCTTCGGCTACGACCCCGTGGTGTATCTCCCCTCTTTCGACCGCACTGTGGCCCAGTTAACACTGGAAGAAAAGAACCGGATCAGCCACAGGGGATGCGCCGCCGGTCGGGCAATAACCGCGCTGTCCCGGCTCCCCAACCCATCACTCTGAACCTGCACCCAGGCTGGCCAAGACGCTTATGTCCCTGAACGTAGTTGACACCATGGGCAGGTCCATGCGGGACCTGCGCATCTCGGTCACCGACCGCTGCAACTTCCGCTGCCCGTACTGCATGCCGGCCGAGATCTTCGGCGAGGCCTATGAGTTCCTGCCGCGTGGGGAAATTCTGACCTTCGAGGAAATCGCCCGCCTGACCCGGCTGTTTTCCGAGTTCGGAGTGAGCAAGGCCCGCATCACTGGTGGAGAGCCCCTGCTCCGCACAGACCTGCCGGAACTGATTTCCCAAATCGCGGCCATCGACGGCATCAGCGACGTCACCCTTACCACCAACGGTTATCTGTTGGCCCAGCAGGCCAAGGACCTGAAGAATGCCGGCCTGCATCGCATAACCGTCAGCCTGGACAGCGTCGACGACGAGGTGTTCAAGCAGATGAATGGCCGGGGTTTCGGCACCCGCCGCGTCCTCCACGCCATCCAGAACGCCGCGGAAGTGGGCTTGACTCCCATCAAGATCAACGCCGTCGTTCAGAGGGGAGTCAACGACCACACCATCGTCGACTTGGCCCGGCACTTCAAGGGCACCGGCCCACATCGTCCGTTTCATCGAGTACATGGACGTCGGCAATCGCAACGGCTGGAAGCTGGACGAGGTTGTGTCCGCCAAGGAGATCATCGCCCGCATCGATGCCGAGATGCCTCTCGAACCCGCCCCAGGCAACTACTCCGGCGAGGTGGCCGAGCGTTACCTGTACCGCGACGGCAGCGGCGAGATCGGCGTCATCGCCTCCGTCACCCGTCCCTTCTGCGGCGCCTGCACCCGCCTGCGCCTGTCCACCGACGGCCAGATTTTCACCTGCCTGTTCGCCACTCGCGGCACCAGCCTGCGCGACCCCATGCGCGCGGGCGCCAGCGACGACGACCTGCGCGACCTCATATCTGGCATATGGACCAAACGCACCGACCGCTATTCGGAGGAGCGCTTTGCCGCCACTCCCGACAGGCCCCGCCCCGCCAAGGTCGAGATGTACCAGATAGGCGGGTAGATTGCATAAGCTGCCTCAAGGGCGCAGTGGCTTGCAGAGACAGAGCGTTTTTGTCGTGGCTGCTAGTATGCGAAAAGTGAACTGACTTGAGATGGGTTTTGTCATCGCCTAATGCCTAATCAGGAAGCCGGGCCATCCACCCACGTGAGTCTTATTTGACCGCGCTATTCGTCCCCATCTCAGGGACTGGAGTTGGACTCTCCCAGAACCCGACGTATGGAATGCTCTTGTGGATAACTGCGGGGCTGGTTGCGTTAGCGAACGTGCGGTGGATTTCCCGAGTACTAGGCCGGAAAGCTCCAGGCCGAAAGTGAGCCGCTGATGGCACCTCAATCCCACGGATCCGCTCCAAACGCGGTAAGGCTCGTAACCATCCACACCGACGGCTCCTGCCTCGGCAACCCGGGACCGGGCGGTTACGCCGCCGTCCTCGAGTACCGGGGGCAGGAGAGAGAGATCTCCGGCGGATTTCGGCGCACCACCAACAACCGCATGGAAACCCTCGCCGTAATCGCCGGCCTTGAGGCGCTGACCGAACCCTGCTCGGTAACGGTCTATAGCGACTCCCGCTACGTCGTCGACGCCATCGAAAAGGGCTGGGCAGTGAAGTGGAAGGCCAACGGCTGGATGCGCAACAAGCGTGAACGCGCCGTAAACCCAGACCTCTGGGACCGTCTGCTCACTGCCTTGGACAAGCACAGAGTTGAACTCAAGTGGGTGCGAGGCCACGCCGGCAACACCGGAAACACGCGGGCGGACAGGCTTGCGGTGGCGGCAGCAAATGGGCAGAATCTGCCCCGCGACGAAGCATACGAAAATCCGGGGAAGGAACCATTATGACAACTCCAGCCGAACAGCAGTCGCTCACTCACCTGGACGAGCAGGGCCGCGCCCGTATGGTCGACGTCGGCGAAAAGGACGTAACCCACCGCGTAGCCGTCGCCCGAGGCCATGTTTCAGTTCAACCTGAAACCGCGCGCCTCATTCGCGAAGGCCTGATGAAGAAAGGGCGACGTGCTCACCATCGCCCAGGTCGCCGGCATCATGGGATCAAAGAAGACCTCCGAACTCATCCCCCTCTGCCATCCCCTGCCCATCGACAAGGTGGACGTTGACCTTGAGCTGGACGAGGAGCGCAACCGGATCAACATCACCGCCACCGCCAGCACCACCGCCCGCACCGGCGTAGAGATGGAGGCAATGACCGCCGTCTCCGTCGCCGCCCTCACCCTTTACGACATGTGCAAATCAGTTGACCGCGGCATTCGCATCGAGGGCCTCCGCCTAGTCAGCAAACGTGGCGGCCGTAGCGGCGACATAGACCTGGGGGATGAGGACTAGGTTCACGGGGAACGTAATGGGAGAAATCAAACTGACGATCGAAGTTGGCGACATCAGCGGTGGTGTGTTTGAGCCCGTCGAGGTTACAGTCGACACCGGCTCCACTTTTTCCCAGATACCCGCCGCATTGTTGCATCGTCTGGGCGTGCCAGTACTGAGAACGCTGGAATCTGAGTTGGCAGACGGAAGCGTCGAACCAGTGCAGGCTGGTGAAACTGTTATACGCCTGGAGGGTCAGCGGATCACTACGCCCGTCATTTTTGCAGGCGAAGTCGAACCGAGCCTGCTAGGGGTTGTGGCCCTGGAAACCGCGCTCCTGCTGGTTGATCCCGTTTAGGGGTCGTCTTCTCCCTACTCGTCTAGTCAGATACGGACGCTGACTTTTTTCTATGGCTCTGATGGTAGCCGCAGTTTAGCCTCGTCTCCCAAGTTCACGCCCCATAAGCCGCAACGCGTTGGCCGCGAAATGGACGTAGTCCTCAGTAGACAGCTCCAGCGCCTTGTACCTGTCCACCTGGTCCACGTCGGTGGGACCCACCGGCCCCGGAATGACCTCCAGCTCCAGCTCGCATATCTCCCCGTCCGGCAGCACCACGACGCATCCCCAATCGTTTCTCGACTCCGGAGGGGGCTCCAGCTCGATTGCCTGCAGCGACGTCATCCCCATGAATGCCGGGAAAGGACGGAGCATTCCAGCCATTTCCACCACCGCCTCCCGCAGTTGCCCGGCAGCCCGCTCCAGCAGTCCTCGGTACGTGTTTTCTGATTCTGACATCCTGATCATTCTATGGTCTCGCCAACGGCGATGCCACTGCTCTGACAGAAATGTCCCCTGGCTGTGGGATAATCCACCGGCGTGAATTTCGACCCGCCGTTGAGATGACTGAGATTTCGACACAGGAACCCAACCGTGGGTGGTATGTCGTTGCCGGCGCCTTCCTCATCCTGACCTTCGGATTCGGGAGTGTCTACTCCTTCGGGACATTTTTCACCCCGCTTCAGGACGCCTTCGGCGCCTCCCGGGCCTCGGTCTCAGCCGCCTTCTCCCTGGCGATACTGACACTGTTCAGCATCGGGCCGGTAACTGGCACTCTCGCCGACAGGCTTGGCCCGAGGGCCCTGGTGTCGGGAGGCATCGCCCTGGTAGGTTGTGGCCTGATCCTCGCCAGCTTTGCCCAGGCCCTCTGGCAGATTCAGCTTGCTTTCGCCCTCTGCATCGGAGGCGGCGTGGGGACGGCCTACGTCCCTGCCGCAGGTGCGGTCCAGAAATGGTTCGACCGCCGTCGTGGCCTCGCTTCCGGCATCGCCATTTCCGGAATAGGCGTTGGAACTCTGATTGCGCCACCCATCGGAGCCTTGTTGATCGCCGAACTGGGATGGCGGCCCGCCTTTCTCGCCATCGGCGTCGCCGTGGCCGTCGCCGGAGGTGCGGCAGGGCTACTTGTGACCAACCCTCGCCCGGATACCGGGTCGGGCAATACAGACATTGCCGATAGCGGGGTGGAGAGAGGCATAGGCCTGTCCACAGCCGTTCGGTCGCGTCCGTTCTTCCTGCTGTTTCTGGGATTTCTTTTTGCCTCTTTGGGTCAATTCACCCCAATTGCCCACCTCGTACCCTACGCCGAGGACCGGGGAATTTCACCGCAGTCAGCCGCAACCCTGCTGAGCCTGCTGGGCGTCGGTAGCGCCGTTGGACGATTCGTAATCGGCGCTACCGCCGACCGTATCGGTCGCTGGCGCGGCCTGGACCTGTCGTTCGGGGGCGTCGGCGTGAGCTGCCTGTTGTGGCTCGGTTCCGACGGTATCGTGGCGCTCGGCGCCTTTGCCGTGCTGGTGGGACTGTTCTGGGGCGGAGGCGTGGCCTTGGCCCCTTCGGTGATGGCCGACTATTTCGGCACTCGGGCGGTCAGCGGCATCATCGGCGTGCTGTACGCCGGAGTGGGACTGGGGGCGCTGGTGGGGCCCGTAATCGCCGGGCTGGTCTTCGACCTCTGGGAGAGCTACACCATTGCCATTGCCTACAGCATTGTCGCACCGCTTTTGGCGGCCGTCTGCGTCCTCTCCGCCGAGTCACCCCAGCACTGGCGCCGACGCCACAACAAGTCGGGGCCATCAACCGCCAAACAAGCTCAAGTCGGTCGAGCGGGCAATTGACACCGCCGACAGGCCCCGAATAACATTGATGTATCGGGTTGCATCCTGGCGGCTGGCCGGATGGCCCCTCGGTGGCAACGTAGCTCAGCGGCAGAGCGGGCGCTTCATAAGCGCTAGGTCACTGGTTCGAGCCCAGTCGTTGCCACCACCTTTAGATACAAAATAAGCCCAAAACGAGCTCTGTTCCCACTTACATTACCACTTTGGTTTGCCTTCGCCTTCCCTTTCCTAATCCCACCTGACATACGCCAAGTGATTTTGACACTTGCTATGTCAGCCCGACCAGCTCTGGCACAAGGTTCGTAGACAGGATGGTCTCCGACGCCGGTGGCCTGTAGCCCATGGAGCTCTGCGCCCTGATCCGGTTGTAAGTCTGCCGGAATTGCTCGGTCAGTACCCTTACCTCCAGCAGCATATAGAAGACCTCCCGGTCCAGCAACTCGTCCCTCAACCTGCCGTTGAAGCTCTCCTCGCACCCCGTTCTCCCACGGCGACCCCGGCTCGATGTACTGCGTCTTTGCTCCCACCTTCCCGAGCCACTCACGTATAGCGTTGGCAGTGAACTCGGGACCGTTGTCAGAGCGAATGTGCTCCGGCACTCCTCTGGCTGTCACAAGCCCGGCGGGGGTTTCAATCAC